TTATTAAAATATTCCAACACTAAAAGATAATACTGATTTTATATTGATTCAGTAAACACTCTTCAGTGAGTTCATTAAGCAATGGCAATTTTCTGAGTGAGTGAGTCTTCTTAAGTGATTCATTAAAAGAACTGGCTCGTAAGACTGGTCACTCTGTGTGTTTTTGGTTCAATAAAAAGAACCGGTTTAAAGGAATCATTTGTTTAGGGCTATACTAGTTGTGCTACATGTAATGAAGGTAGATGGTGACTAAGGGCTGTCCATATGATCTGTGTATCATACTCTAAATCATATGATAGTTTGTGTGGGGAACAGGTCTACATTTACCTTGTGATTCAGAAAAATCTCGGTCCCCTGAGCCTTATTTTTCTAAGCTTGTTCCATTTGCAGTTTCAGTTGACATAATCAATATATTATTGACAATCACTTCTCACTTTTGTGCTGAAGCAAAAACAGTTTTGCCAGCACTGAATACTCTAATGCATTGGACTGGACTCATCAGGAGAGCTGTAGTGAATGAATGTTAGTTGTTGTCGTATATCGAAGTAGAATCGATGCTCATTCATAAGACCAGTGCTAAAAAAATGAGTTGGTACCAGGGAAAGGGAAAATGAAAAAAGCAAATGTGCAGCAGTTACAAAGACTGAAATGGGGTTGTTTGCCCAGTAGTCATGTGTCTGCGTGAACACAACCATAATAGACAGCAAGACCGAGAAAGAGAACGACTGAAAGAGAACAATTGAAGGTAATTTCATTGACTTGTTTTCTTTCACATCATTTTAGAACAGGATATCAGAATAACTGTTCTTCCAATACAGCAGTCAGCAAAAGGAAGCCATGCATTTGAGTTTCGAGATGAAATAAGCTCTCTGGTTATCTGCTGCTATTTTTAAGAGTTTTAACTAAAGCCCATCAAGCTTCACATAAAAATGACAATGCATTGTGTTTTTCAGCTTTCTACACCGCAAGGTATGGATTTAAAGTGTGCATGCGGCTCTACTTGAATGGAGATGGGGTTGGAAAGGGAACGCACATCTCTCTTTTCTTTGTTATAATGAAAGGAGAATACGACCCCATTCTCCCATGGCCATTCAGATATAAGGTAAAACACTAAAATCAAGCTGTCAATCAGTGAACCGATCAATCATTTTATGCACATTTGTGTTGTCTCTTAGCTAATGACGCTTACATGCTGAATTCATACATTAAAGGAGTCATTATGAGGAATCAAATTATCTTTGATCTTTTTAAATAAAAAAAGCTTTGATGTATTAGGAAATTATACTTTATACGTTGAACTCAAATGTAGGACTCAAATGTCCTTCCCATTCCAGCAAGACAATTTGTTTAAATTATTTGAATTTGAATTCTGAGTTTACAAGAATGAATACAAATTCAACTGATGACTGCATTACTTGCAATAGCTGGCAATTTTGTTTTACTTTTCTTCGAAAGCCTATATTGTGTAATCTAGGTCATATTATTAACTAAAACTGAAATATATCAAAAAATTCAATTGAAATAAAGTTCAAGTAAAATATATACATAAAATATAAATAGATGGAAAAACATAAACTTTAAAAAAAACTTCAATGTAAATTTGAAATGTTGAACAGAAATAAAATAAGTTTAAGTATTAAATGAGTAAACGTAAATAAAAATTGATAAGCTGAATAGATCATTAAAAAAATATATTAAAAAGACAAAATTATGAAAACTTAAACCAAAATTCAAATAAAAACTAAAAATTAAAAACATACAAGTTAATTCATAATATTAGTAAATACTATAATAGTATATAAATAACATTTAAAATTGTTTATTAAAATTGAAATTAAAATTGCTTAAAATGCTGTTCACACGTTGAACTGTGCTGCTTCTGTCTTGCAGTGATTATCATTGTAAAATGAGCATCATGTTATACTCGAGTGCCGAACACTTGAAGTGAGCACTCAGAAGGGTACACTGAAGGGCATTACCATCTCATGTGTGCGTGTTTAGTACACCTAATAAAAAATGTGAAAACGCAGAAAGGTCCAGGTTTATAGATTAAAGAAAATAAATGTCTGTTTTTTTTGAGCCAAATTAAAGAAAAAAATGAAATGCATTTCAATCTGATTTTAGCAGTTTGAGTGACACATATTAGTGTAGATTGCTTACTGATTCTGCTATTGAAGGATAAGGCAGTTAAAAAAACATTAAAAACTCTAAATTTCACATTGAAGAAAGCATATAGAATTATAAACAGCAGCACAGCAAAAAGCAACACATTCAAAGTGTTAGAGAGAATGTAAAATGGTCATGAAAAACTCAATTACAGCTGTTTATGGTGCAAAAAAACTTACTAAGTGCACCTCAGGACAAAGAATTAAATAATAAATGTATGATATGACCCCTTTAATAGTGGCTTCTGTTGTAATGAACCAGCTTTGGTTCCTCAATAATGTGCCATTGACATCTCCTGCACGTACCTGGCAGGTCACGTTCTTTCTCATAGATCAGAACCAGAGGGAGCACGTCATCGACGCTTTCCGACCCGACCTCTCCTCTGCCTCTTTCCACCGCCCCACCTCAGATATGAATGTGGCCAGTGGGTGCCCCCTGTTCTTCCCTCTGGGGAAATTGAGGTCGCCTAAGCACGCCTACTGCAAGGATGACACCATCTATATCAAATGCGTGGTGGACACCTCCACCTGAAGCATAAAGGCCTGGCTGTTAAGGGTGACTGGATTCCTAAGGGAGCATAACAATTCTGGATCTGGACAAAATGAACATGGAGTGCAAATAAACAAACGTAGAAATATTTATGAACTGAAAAATGTAAGAGTTTTGTCTTGGTTGCATTTTGGTTCTTTGGGTACATGAATGAAATAATATTTTTTAGATTGACACCTGGCTCTTAATGTTTTAAACACTGATTTTTTTCTTGTGTTACTTTGGATATATTTCTGTTTTATTTATTATGGAATGAACTCTTTTGGATTTTGAACATCATGCTGACAGTTTTCATATTTTATATGTAATAATAAATAAAATGTGTTTACTACCTTGTTTTGTGTTTCCTCATAGCATAGTTTATCTGCATATACATGTCTCAACATTGCAGATAAATGATGATTTGTGATTTATCTCTTTAAAATTTAGAACAATCAATATTATTTGCATTTTACGATTTTAATTTAAAGAAATGGTTCACCTAAATACGTACTCGCCCTCAGGCCATAAATTAATATCTTTTTGAAGCAAAAAGATGCATGTTTATAAGAAATAAATCCATTATTAAGACTTCAAACCATTGCTTTTGACTAAAATATGAGTCCTCTATCCATTGCTTTCTCCAGTGAAAAAGTTTGCACAGATCAAGCACCGTTTACAAGCAAAAACAGTTTTAAACAAATATGTTGGTGGATTTTGATGTGAGAGGACAACAGGGAATTGGCTTAATCATTGCAGGAAATGTTATGGATTATTTTGCAGAAGATTATGAAGATTCATAATTTTTCATAGAACATCCGATGCTTACCACAATTTTTGCATGTGAACTGTTATTTCCTTTTATATAAACAATGGAAATTTTGCTGAACCAACGCATTATATGCATACTGGCTACTGTGCAAAATCACTTCATAACTTAATGAACATAACTTTTTATTAATAAAAAGTAACATTTTTTCCACTTTTGTTGTACAATGTTACCTTCAAGTTAGCACTTACAGGAATGTGTGCAAAAAATAAGGCCGAATGAGAGATGAGAGCATTATATGCATACTGGCTACTGTGCAAAATCACTTCATAACTTAATGAACATAACTTTTTATTAATAAAAAGTGTAACATTTTTTCCACTTTTGTTGTACAATATGTTACCTTCAAGTTAGCACTTACAGGAATGTGTGCAAAAAAATAAGGCCGAATGAGAGATGAGAAAAGAACAGGTGGTTTCTCACAGTTGAAAGGGTCACTTTTTACAATAAGTAAAAATCATCACCCTGCTTCAAATAACCCTTAGTCATGGGGAATTCGTAGCCCCCAGTGTATATGGTTAGTTTTGTTCGGCGACATCAAATTTTTTATTTAGTCAGCTCGCCATAACCTTGTGATGTCTACCTGAATTACAATGTCCAAATTTCACAGAAATCTAAGAATATTACTGTTATGCCAGCAAGTATGACCCATTATGTGTTAAAAATGTAACTGCATTGTGACAGTTGCACTGCCAGCAAACCTTTACTGAAGACATATACAGTATGCTGACAGCTCACTCTCTCACGTCATCCACTCATCAAAACCATTACACGTTTTATAATATCCAAAAATAACTTTAACAAACATTATATCATGCTCAAAGTATCAGTGATGAAAAACAGTAAAACTGACATTAGCCTACATTTGATTCATAAATATTCATTTTGAATATAGATTAAGCACAGATCTGTTAGCATAAGTATATTAGTTTCATTTCATTAATTCAGATATTTATCTATCTTTATATAACTACTGTATATCATTTTAATATATATCTAATTTATTTAACTAACTATATAGCCTACACTGTATGTATGTATGTAGGCTATATATATATATATATATATACACACACACAGTAACTACTGTATATAATCTATCTATCTGTCTATCATCTATCTATCTGTCTATAGTTCTACATTGCATATATAACAGAATAATCTAATAGCTAGGCTATATGACAGTTTAATAACTTTATTCTGTAATTTCTATCTTTTTATGGATAAATCTAGTGTATATTGTCAGTTGTCCTATTTCATACTCAGCATGAGTTTCAACTCTGACTTGTACAGTCTTTTCTCTTGTCATGTTGTACTCTCAGAGCATTTAATGTCTTTTCGTCTTTGGAGCAGCGCTTCTGTAGCCCCTCCTCGAGGCGAGAGCGCTGCTGCTGTACTTCCTGTACGCGGATGATGATGATGATGATCGGGTTATGTTAATTACATAAGAAAAACGTAAATGATTCGCGGGAAAAGGTGAAAAAAATGGCGACGTTCACTGACTGCATTTCTGCGCCGCCTGAGCTGTAAAATCCCCAGAAACTCTCGTACACATCGCGAATGGGATTTCGGGCTGCCAGAGGAGGAATATCTGCACTTTTTGGCGCGTTTTACCCGCGGGATTGGAGAGAAATCAAAGCGGTAATCTCAGCCCGAGATGTGTTTGAATGTGACCAGATTCAAAATCTGCTGCAGTGTAGTGCGTAACAACTCACAGCTGCACTGATCTGACGAATTTAATCATGCATACGAAAGAGTAACAGAGTAATAGTGTGTTTTGTGCATGTTATGTCTGATTACAGCTAGCGTGAAAACTTGTCTGAGTCCCTGAGAGAAGTTTTGGCAGTGCGCAAGTTTTCCAGCATGCCCTGATGATGTTGTTGCATGTCTTCAAATGGGGAGGGAGTCCGTTCAAAGATTCGCAGTGGCTATGATTTATATAATTAAGTAACTGAACTGATAGACTCTTGATAGAAGTTTGATTAGATAGAAGCGGGCATGGCTGTAAAGTGACTTTTCATGCAGGCGTGCATGCTTTTACAGTCGATGCAATAGTTTTCTGTGTTATTTTTTTGTCACGCATAAAAAAAGCACGCATGTTTTATTCTTATAGTTAGTGTACGGTTGAAAATCGTGTGATTCTCGGCCGCCTGGTTTCGATTCATTTGAAGATTTGTATTGGGTTTGGTGCATAGTAGCAGGAGATCAGTAAGTCTGAAGTTCACATCCTGATGATGAGTCAACCAGCTCTGTTTCTCTGCTCCCTTTTTTAACTCATCAGGGTTGAGATTGAGTCAGACAATATTCCCCATGTGCACTCGTTGTGGTTGGACGAAACCATTTGCAGTTCTACATGCATTCAGTACACACTTGCTTACCTGGATCACTCTGTGTGATTCCCAACCACCAGGGGCTTTATGGATAAGCTCAACCTTGTTGAAACTACAAAATATTTAAACCTATAAACTTCTTCAAATGAATAGATAAATAAAACAGGGAAATAATAAATGTTTACATAATTAAGAATTGTCAGTTTTTTCAGTTTTGATATTCTAAGCGAGTCATTGAATCACTCAACTCAACCGGACACTGAATCGTCTACAAAATCTATTACGAGGCTCCAGAAAGAGCGTTTAAGCATAAAGGCGGTCATACACCTGATGAGAAGCACAGCGCCGCGTCTAGAACAATTCGTACAACAAGTACAACACGACGTAGTTGGGCGCCGTGGACAGATGCTGAACAGTGCCGCCGATGTGCGTACACTCATAGAAAATAATGTGTTTTCGGCATCTGTCCGTGGCGCCCACATAAGTCATGTTGTACGAGTTGTTCTAGACGCGGCGCTGCGCTTCTCGTCCGGTGTGCAACCGCCATGCAGACTTGAAACACTGATGCTGCATCTCAGTGTGCCTACTTATACTACACCCTTAAAGTATGTACTCTTTTGGTGAAGAAAAAGTACACACTTTTGAGTGTACCTGTTACACGCACCCTGTCACTGTAAACTGGCCTGTCAATCATCTTGTCACAGTTAACATCCTCCACATTTCATTTCATTTAACTTCCTATCGTACTGGAGAGAAAAGAAGTAGCTCGTTGATCTGCCAGTCACGGGTCTTTAATGCTTAGAACTCTGCTCATATTTTCTGCATAATGATGCAATTAAACGTTAACGACCAAATGGATGTTTATAAAAGTTCACATTACTGTTGCAGATGAAATATAACACGGATAACAATAAATAAATAGTTTTTACCAGGTTAAATGTTGATTATTAGTAACTCAAACCCCTTTTTGTAAACCTCTCTACCTAACAGTCGATCGCACACATCCGCCACGTTTGTAGTTTTCCTAACGCGTTTTATTCGTGTTTGTAGTTCTGGACCGAATCCTTCGCCAAAGCGCAATGGATTGTGGGCAATTTTAGCCATTCGAGTGTGCACGGATCCACACTTCAAAAATCGACCTGAAATAGTAGACCATCCGGGGACTTTTGGCATACTCTTTTCAACATACTATGCTTTGGGACACGCTTATTCTAATCTCACATACTATTTAGGATGGATAGAATGAACATTGAGACGCAGGGTGAATTGTTCTTTAAAGGGGGCTTGTTCTTACAGTAGGTCCAGCCAATCATATTGCGTCTTCACAGTCGTTAATCGAATGCTATTTGCTCATGCTGTAATCAGTCCTTGAACGTCACAAGACTTCAGTAAATAAGAAAAATAAATTAAAAACCTTCTTATAAGTAATAATATAACAATATTAATTATTTTGCTAAAGTGTATAATTATAATGAGAGTTAAAAGGACACATTACTGGTGGGTACTTGAGCATTATTGAAGGGGCTGTATAAGAAAAAAATGGTTTAGGAAAGTTCCTATTTTTACTATCACATTAATAAGTGAACAAAGCTGCAACTATCCCCTGTGTTGATTCCAATAATTTTCCCTGAGAACTAGATGACTGTCATGTTTTTAAAGCCTTAATTATGTTAAATGAGCCATGCCTTTAGATTGATGGTGCTCTGCATTTATGCTTATCGATTAATTGCACATATAAATCCTTAAAACCTTTTTCCATTTATAAATATATTTTGGGCTAATTTAGATTTAAAAACAACAGGAAGAGAAATAGACTGACTTAGTCTTTTTGCTGCCTTTCCAGAGTGTTTATTCGTATATGCAAGTGAACTGACCAGTGGGAAAAACCCTTTATTATGTCAATCTTAACCTTGGTTTCTATCAGAGTTTTTGTATAGAGATATGTGCTCACCGAGGTTTTCATATTTAAACCATTTTTACAAAGAAAAACACCTAAAAATTCCAAAAGAGTGTGTTTGTATGAAATATTATGCAAATAATTCCACTGGGAAACATCACATGTGATAAACTTCGTGTAATCTACATATTATCCATGATTTGTGTGTTCTTACTAACAGGAAGTGTGGGTGTGTCTACTGTCAGTATGTTGGAATCGGCCTGTCGGGATGGATATCTGACAGTCAGGTCGGAACCTCTAGAACCCAAGCACCTGCTTCCCAAGAGAGAGAAAATCTGCAGCGACCAGGAGACCAACTTGACCGTGGGCCAGTACGTGTTGTGTCGCTGGTCTGATGGCCTTTACTACCTGGGCAAGATCCAGAGAGTGAGTTAATGATACTGTAGACGTTTATATACACCTGAACTGAATACACTGAACATCTCTTTTTTTATTGCACACACAACACTGTATATCCTCCTGGAACATGGAAACATGAAGAATTGGAATTAAGTTGTTATATTTTTTCAATGGAAAACATTTTATAAAAATGCTTGCAGCATTAAAGGAATAGTTCATCCAAAAATGAAAATTTGCTGAAAATGTACTCACCCTCAGGCCATCCAAGATGTAGATCCAAGATGTAGATGAGTTTGTTTGTTCATCAGAACAGATTTGGAGAATCACTTGCTCACCAGTGGATCCTCTACAGTGAATGGGTGCCGTCAGAATGAGAGTCCAAACAACTGATAAAAACATCACAATAATCCACAAGTAATCTTTCAGTCGATCAATTAATGCAGGGGTCACCAAACTCGGTCCTGGAGGGCCGGTGTCCTGCAGAGTTTAGCTCCAACCCTAATCAAACACACCTGAACCAGCTAATCAAGGTCTTACTAGGTATACTTGAAAGTTCCAGGCAGGTGTGTTGAGGCAAGTTAAGCTAAACTCTGCAGGACACCGGCCCTCCAGGACCGAGTTTGGTGACCCCGGATTTTATGTCTTGTTAAGTGAAAAGCTGCATGTTTGTAATAAACAAATCCATCATTAAGATGTTTTTAACTTCAAACCACGGCTAAAATAACTCTAAAGTCCTCTATCCATAAAATTGCTTTCTCCAGGGTAAAACTTGTCTCGTCAGGAGAGAAATATGCACAAATCAAGCACCATTTACAAGCAAAAACAGCCCAAAACAGTTCTAAACAAATATGTTGGTGGATTTGATGGACTTTTTCACTGAAGGAAGCATTATCATGGTTTATGGACTTGTATTTTGTCCAGAAGCAATGGTTTAAAGTTAAAATGCCTCATTGATGAATTTGGTTCCTATAAACACAGCTTTTCACAAGACATTAATTGATCAGCTGGAGTCGTGTGGATTACTTGTGGATTATTGTGATGTTTTTATCAGCTGTTTGGACTCTCATTCTGACGGCACCCATTCACTGCAGAGGATCCATTAGTGAGCAAGTGATGTAATGCTAAATTTCTCCAAATCTGTTCTGATGAAGAAACTAACTCATCTACATCTTGGATGGCCTGAAGGTGAGTACATTTTAAGACAATTTATTTATTTATTTTGTAAACTATTCCTTCAAAAATATATATATATTTTTTCTGAATTTCAGTTTAAACAGATAAATAAGACTTTGCCATTTGTTTTTCTGATTCATTTCATAATTTGTGTAAACATATGGAAAAATTGCAGTTTTGATGTGCATTTTTTATATGAACAACATTCAATGGAAAAAAAATGTATAATAATAAGAACATTTATTTGTGTCAAATTGCTAAATGTCATATTTAATTGGAATATTGTTCATTTTTACCCTGTTCAATGTGAAAAGACATGATGTACCTTACAAAGAACATTATTAAAAAAGGGACATGTCTTTCTTGAGAAAGAAAATCATACTGCGCTTTGAAAGCCCAGGATGCCCACTTTAAGATACACCAGATATATAAAACTGTGCCATTTGAAATTGCCAAAAATCAATGTCCCCTGCAGAGGACAAAAATGAATTGCTGGGTCCCAGGAGGAAACATACAAGAGATGTTCATGACCTGATAGAATGTTCTATAATCATGAAATCAAATATATATTCATGTTTATTACAGTTTTATGTTTGCATTTCACAATACATACATTCCTTATTCCATTTCCCCTATAGGTGAGCACCTCAAAACAGAATTGCTTTGTGACGTTTGAAGACAACTCCAAGTTCTGGGTGCTTTGGAAAGACATACAGCATGGTAAGAGGTTGCGTGGAATATGCATCGTACAAACCCGGGATTTTTAATTTCAGAAGAAGCAGCAAAAATTCATCAGCAAGCTAGAAAGCAGATATTTGGTTTGAAATGTCAGTGTGTCCTATGAGAGGTGTGTGTGTGTGTGTGTGTGTGTGTGTGTGCCCTATAGGTGAGCACCTCAAAACAGAATTGCTTTGTGATGTTTGAAGACAACTCCAAGTTCTGGGTGCTTTGGAAAGACATACAGCATGGTAAGAGGTTGCGTGGAATATGCATCGTACAAACCCGGGATTTTTAATTTCAGAAGAAGCAGCAAAAATTCATCAGCAAGCTAGAAAGCAGATATTTGGTTTGAAATGTCAGTGTGTCCTATGAGATGTGTGTGTGTGTGTGTGTGTGTGTGTGTGTGTGTGTGTGTGTGTGACAGTATGGTATTACTGCATTGTGATGAGGTAACTGAAGCTTTATTCTCTCGTTCTCTCGCACAGCTGGTGTCCCTGGGGAAGAACCCAAATGCTCAGTGTGTTCTGACATGTCTCTGGTTCCTGGTAATGAAGTTCTTATCTGTGGAAAGTGTGGAATAGGTGAGTCTGAGGCAGACATGGGCACTGCCTGTATTCTAGCTCATCACGTAGCACACAAAACCTGCATACATCGCAGTAAAACAGCTTGTTTTTGCTTGGAGAAAGTAGTGATTCGTTTTAAAGAACTATTGACTCAGAAACTCGATTAGTGATGCTTGTATAGCATCACTCTTACTATTACTCATTCTTAGGGTTAAGGATTTGAGATTTGAGATCATTTGTATGCTAATGTACACCGAATGTACAGCTGACTGTTAGCAGACAAACAAATTTAGATTTAGATTTTCTCTCCTCAATGAAAACAAAATATTAATGACTCATCTTGCAGAGGTAGATACAAATGTGTCCAATAAAATATCCAATTATTATAATTATTAATGATGATAATAATAATAGTAATAATAACATCATTTTGTCAAGTGAATGCTTTCTACAATGAGCATGTCCCTCCCCCTAAATAATAATAATAATTATTATTATTATTAGGGATGCACCGATACCGATACTGGTCTCCTGTACTCCTACTCGTACTCGTTAAATACCCGATCCGAGAAAAATGGCACTATCGGAGCCGATACCCGATATGAATATCGGATCGGCGCATCCCTACTTAACAGTAGGGAGGGAGAGAGAGAGAGAGAGAGCGCACACGCATCATTTGGATTAAAACTAAATCGTAAAAATAACTATTCTGCATCAGTACAAATACGTGCACGCGTGTATCTATTTGATAAATGAAGTTAACCAACTAACATTATACATACTCTTTTGGTTTCTGTACCCAATATTTAAAAAAATTACAAATGCAATAAAAATATCGGTATCGGTACTCGGCATCGGCAAGTAACAAAAATAAAAGTATCGGTATTGGGCGAGTACTGGAAAAAGTGGTATTGGTGCATCTCTAATTATTATTATTAATTTAGGGGAAAATTATTTATTTGACAAAGTTAAATGATAGTAATTTATTGTGTTAAATTAATATATTACAGAACATCTAAAATAATAATTTAAATTATTTTATGTGGGTTTGGGTGGGATGGCTGATGGTTATTCTGTTGGTGTCAACCACCTAGCATACACCCAAAATGTCCTACCAACTACATAGCCACACCCTGGCAACCTAAAATTGTAGTAATGATTGGGGGGGGGGGGGGTATGTAATGCATTTGAACTATTTGCAAATAATAAATGACATAAAATGTGTCATTCTGCATACTATTGGCAGCTCCAGGGCAGATCGTACTTCTGCATCTCTGCTACTTCTGTGTAGCACAGATTTACCAAAAAAAGCTAATTTCTACTGCATAGACAGCAAACGTTTATTAAAATCCCTTCTTGTCAGCAGTGAAAAGCTCATTTAATCTTATGCCTAATATCTTATGCCTGAAATCTGTGAATGTTTCTTGTTTCATCACATTCATGATTCACAAAGGCCAAATTGGACAGTATTGCTGTCGGTTGTTTCTATCTTAAAATTACCAAAAAAAGCTAATTTCTACTGCATAGACAGCAAACGTTTATTAAAATCCCTTCTTGTCAGCAGTGGAAAGCTCATTTAATCTTATGCCTAATATCTTATGCCTGAAATCTGTGAGTGTTTCTTGTTTCATCACATTCATGATTCACAAAGGCCAAATTGGACAGTATTGCTGTCGGTCGTTTCACATTTCTATCTTAAAATGGTTTACAAAAGCAAAATATTTCATGTCCGGCTAATAGCTTCTTATCTTGCACTTTATCAACTGATTGTTAGAACTTGCCCTCAGCTTTTGTGAACACTTATAGCATGCTGTTATTGTCATGCTAACAACAAACAGTGATGCAAAGCATCATCAAGATTAGCAAATATTGGGGGGACGAATTAGCCATATCTGATTATTCAATGTCTGTGGTGGTTACGGCTCTGCAGCACTTGCAATTTCTTCAGAAAATGTCGAAATCTAGTAATATAAAAGTTACAATGACTTCTTGCATGATGCAACGGCTGGGGAACTCTTCTGCCTGTGGATAAAACTGATTAACATGTACTTGTGATAATGTATTTAAAAAAAACTGGAGTGGAAAATGTGGTACAATTTGCATTATAAATGCCATAGCGTCTACAAAGCAAATAGAGAACTATTCTGGGTGTCTTTGATGACTTTAAGGGGGTTTGGTAAGACCGCACTACAGTAATGACTCGCTGGAGACGCAGAAGTGGCTCTCTGAAGTCTCAAGGATTAGTGTCGACTTCAGCTCTGCTGTTCATATTTACACATCTGAATGGGTCTGAGTCGATCTGTTTTTTTTTTTTTACATTTGTCCTCCGTACTTCCACATGCTTGCCTTGCATCTTCAGGCTATCACCAGCTCTGCCACTTGCCCCCAGTGGAGAGCTCAGCTGACCTTTCTCCATGGTTCTGCAGGAAGTGCATTTTTGCTTTAGCTGTGAGAGTAAGTCTTTCATATCCGTGCATATACACTATTTTCTCTTTCCATGTAAATGAATGGGGATCAGGGAGGCCACATTGCTGACGTGTGTTTCTTTATGTGGCAGAAAGGGGGAGCTCTGAAAAAAGGGCCAATTTCTAAAGCGCTGCAGGCCATGAAGCAGGTGCTGCCCTATAATCCAGAGGAGCTGGAGTGGGACTCTTTGCATCGTACGAACCATCAGCAGTGCTACTGCTACTGCGGAGGACCTGGAGAGTGAGTCTGCCTTGTGTCTTCTATTTCCTTTCTTTTTTGTTCTCTTCCTTGCTTGGTTTCTTTTCTTGCTAGAGGTCTAGGCATTAGGCCCCCTGTATTATTAACTGATTCAGTGTAGTGTGCGCACAGGAAAGCAAAACTGTAATGTACTGGGCATAACATCTGTCACATTGTTTGAAAGCATTGGGATGTTTGATTAATTGTAGTGAAGTGGTTTGTTTATGTGTTTCAGTGAAGTAAAAGTGAGGAGAGCATGACAAATGCACTCACACATCTCTGCCTCGTATGCTCGGTTGCTGTCTACTCGCTCAGCACAATTATTTTGATCAAAACAAAATTGTATGTGTCATGCAACCAACAACAGAACAGGGACTGTCACAAGATTGTTGAAAAATAAACAGTCCCTACTTTGCTTCGTAACATTAGTCATCGGATTATTATTAAAGCAGTTGGCTTTATAAGTGCGCTGTGACACTGAATAGAGTTCAGAAAGTTAAACGCAAGTTATACATTTTATGTTTTACTTGCAATGACAATAACCAGAGCAGTGTTTTTATTAACTACTAAAAACTAAAACTATTTAAAATCATTTTATTAATAATTAAAATTAAGGTGAAAAAATAAAATATAAATAAAAGATGAAAAACCTAAAGGTAAAAGCTTATATAAAGCTTAGAAATGTTATCTTGTCAACAAACTGTAATGAAATAAGTTAAAGTACTACAATTACTAAAACTAATGTGGAAATAAAAATGAACTGAAGCTAAACAGAAATACTAAGTAGAAATGTTAGACTATTGGAAATAAAAATGATTAGAAATATAAAAAAATAATATTAAAAATAAGTATAACAAATAAAAATAGAAGCCAGTTCAAAATATTAATAAATACTGTAATAGTATCAAAATAATACTAAAATAAGACTTATTTGTTATATGAGTATTTACTAACATAATTATGCAAAATGATACGATTCCTCTTTCAAATCTCTTACCCAGTACATTATTTTACTGAAATAGAAAGGAAATTATGTATTTTGATTTTTATGATGCCTTTGTGATCAGCTATCGTGATCTGTATTTGATGTTATCGTTCAGTTCATGAAAATATTAAAGATGCTACCCTCATGTCATCCACCCAACTGTATTGTATTACAGCATTACTAAAAATGCAAGTGTTGTATTAGTGATTATCAAAACCAAAATATTATTACTGTGCTTAGTCTCTAAAAATGGGATTGGTGCCATTCGTATTATTCCTACTAGACATAAAGCTTCTAGAAACATCTTGGTAATGCTGTGCTAATGGCTTTGCTATTGCCGCTGTTCGGTACACACCATCTAAATGGAAAGAAAAAGGTTTGAGCATAACTCCATCACTCCACCAGTTTTGCTTGCTTTTATTTTTGTTTATACTGAAATGTAATTGGTCTGTTTAGGTCTTTGTGTTTTGTGTCTGATAAGAAACATTCGACAGTTCATTTCTTATTCTCTGATTTTCCCATCAGGTGGTATCTGAAAATGCTGCAGTGCTTTCGCTGTGAGCAGTGGTTTCATGAGGCGTGTACGCAGTGCCTACAGGAGTCCATGATGTTTGGAGATAGGTATGTACTGTACAGAGCTACATTTATCACCGAATTTATCACAACAAAAGAACTTGCATCTTTGCATCAATATTCCGCCATCCTTTAGTATGGATTTCTCATCCTTCCCCTCAAATCTATGAACTTCCCTGAAAAGCAATTGGCTTTATATCATTAAATATAATTAAAGTGATGTTTTCAGTGATTTTGTCATGGCTAAGGGGTATTTTTTAGGCACAACTTGAAAGTGGAGAATTCCAGATTTTCAAATAGTTGTATCTCGGCCAAATATGGTCCTATCCTAACAAACCATACATCAATGGAAAGCGTATGTATTCAGCTTTCAGATGATGTATAAATCTCCTTAATGCAGCATCGCACACAAGCGAGATTACATGCGTTAGGGGATTTTTAACTATTTTTCTCTCCAAGGTGTGGAATTTAAATGATTCCATTTTTTTGCTGTCTTTTCTGTCATAGGTTTCATTTGTTCATTTGTGCGGTGTGCAATAAAGGAGTGGAATACATCAAGCGGCTGGCGCTCAGATGGTAAATGGCAGCTCTTCTTTTCCCCCTCGCAAGTGATTGCACCCAGATCCGTGTCAGAATTATATAGTCAAAGTGTCGGATGTGATTGATGCGGGCCGGAGATCCATCCAGAGCTTTTTCTCTCAAGTGCCCAGCTATTTCAGAAAGTAAAGAGAGTGCATTGCTTTTTTTTTTTTTTTTTTTAGAGTAGAGTTTGTCTGGACATTGATTCTTGCTTTTTGTCCCAAATGGGAAATAGCTATTTGAAACGAAGATTTGGTGCTGAGAGGATTTCTTATGATAACAGGATTACTCTTGAAATTCAGTGAGGTGGATGTGTTGGATATTTAGGTATGAAGCCAGTCTCGGTTCAGATTTAAGCTTTATGCTTCTTAAAAAGTCTGATGTGTTAAAACGGACCTTGCCTTTTGAACAGAACGGAGCTCTATTTAATGTTCACCATGTGACAGATTTTGGTGGTGTCATTTGTTCTAAGAGAATTTCTGCTTTAGGTCCAAAACATCTTCAGCTCGGTCTCTACACTTTAGAGCTCTAAGTGGCATTTTGCGTGAGATTTTCTTGTTTAAATCAACTTATTTTTAATTTGCAGGGTGGATGTTGTCCATCTCGCGCTGTACAACCTGGGAGTCCAAAGTAAGAAAAAATACTTTGAACTGGAAGAGATCCTGACCTTCATCAGCAACAACTGGGACCATATCCAGATGGGCAAGGTGATACATTCAAGCCTTTCCTATTGCTTACCATTCAAGATCTTTTTAGGAAAAAACTTTAAACGTAAAAAATATGTAATTTAAAAAAAAAAAGTGTAATTTTTGGGTGAACTTTTAGTCAAATAAGCAACTACCCCTAGAGAACACCTTAGTGACGCCCTAGTAACCACTCAGAATATCCTAGCAACATCATAGCAATACCCAAAACAAACTAGTAATTTCATAACATAACCTAACAACACCCAGAACACCCTATCAGCCGCATGGCAACTTCTTAATGCCCTAGTAACCACAAACACCTTAGCATCTACAGAGCAACACCCAGAACATTCTAGTAACTATAAACATGCCATTCCATTTTGTGCCACTAGTTGTGCAAAAATGACACACTTCACCTTCAAAGACATTTAAAACCAAATAAAAACAGTGCTATTGTATGTAGACGATTGCTGTAATTGCTAGGTATTGAAAAGCAGTTCCTTTGAGAGAAATGGGTAGTGAAAATTAGCCAGTTTTTTTTGTTGTGCATCATCTCTTGTCGTTCTAACAGCTTGTTTGTTGTCGAGTGTAGTCGGAGAAAACAGCACTGCTAAATTGCTTACACTTCTCTTTATGGAAGAGTTAACTACTACAGCAAAGCCTGTGGGTTTCATTTGTCTTCATTGAAACATGGCAGCTCAAGGCACCAGCGAAGGAAATGTCTCATAATAAAACACCATATCACACAATCAGTTTCTCTCAAAGACCTTCTTACCTATTTCTTCCCCTTCAAGCTCTCCAACACCCCTCTGTCTGAACGGGGCCAGTATATTCTTGATGCCCTCAACAACTATAAAAGCAAGTAAGAAGAAATGTTTTCCGTTGGTTTTCTCTCATTGAAGTAATGCGTAGACTTTGAATACATTTTTTTCTATTTTTT